TTATAGTCTGACAACAAATTTACTAAGTATTGCGCAACAGCACAGTGTATTGCACAACAGCAAGAAATCTTTAATTGAATATAAATTCAATTCATATAACCAATTTCAAGTTCTTTGACTATATTTATTCAGAAACCTATAATATGTCAAATATTTAATTACAATCCAAATTCAGACCTGTATCAAGCTTGAATATTGTGTCCACTTTTGACCCAACTGTTCAGGGTTGGACCTCTGCGGGCGTATCCAGCTGCGCTCAGCGAAGCAGTTTATTAAAATTGGAGTTATCTACCTTTGTCCATGATTATAGTTGAATCAACTTCCACTGATAAAACACAGATCAAGTTGAATTTGGGTAGTGTCACTTGAACCATTATTGAGTTATGCCCCTTTATAAATCGAAAGATTGCAAAATTTTTAGTTTCCATTCTGTAACATAAGTTTGCCCCAACCAAACATTATGAAACCTATACACAATATTCATTACCACAAAACTAAGATCAAGTACAAATTTTTTGTTTCCGTTTTCTAACTTTAGTTTGCCTCAACCAAATGTTATGAAACTGATACACAATGCTTATTACTACATAATACAGATTAGGTACGAAATTTGGTGGCAACACTTTTACCATTCTTGAGTTATGTTCCTATATAAACATAAAAATTGCTGAATTTTTCATTTCCGTTCTCTAACTTTAGTTTGTCTCAACCAAATGTTATAAAACTTATACACAACCGTTCTAGAGTTATGCGTGTTTACAAATGGAAAAATTGCTGAATTTTTAGTTTCTGTTCATGATATGCAAGTGGGGACATCATCTGTGTCCACATGTGGACACTATCCACATTTGTTGTGTAGTAATTTCTCAACTAGCCCTGATTTTTTTGTACTACCTTAAACACAACTGTATGATTAGCACAAATGAAAGAACACATAGACACAAATAACCAAACAACATCTTGAATTATGTTTTGAGGTTTAAACATGTTAATTTTGTTTTCATTTTTTAATTGCATGCCATGAAAGCTTTAAAAGTGAATTTCTCTAAAGAATATGCAAGAAAAAATACCAGTACTGCTTTTTGTGATTGATTGTTGCTTGCTTAATGTCCAGTGGCAAATATTTCATGCATTTTCAGGACAAAATACCTTTTGTGAAGTAATTTCTCAACTTGCCCTGATTTTTTTAAAACATTTAAGTATTTAAATGTCAAATGCACAGTGCAAGTTGTCTATAAACAAAGCAATAAGGGTTGGTCACCTCAACCATCACTAGATTCAATGTACATTGTATGACCGTCATTTGTAATTAAAGTGAAATAGAAAATTGGGAGGGGGGATATAATTTAAAAATGCTGTTTTTAGGGCATTTGTTTAAGTAGGACCAATTACTCCAACTTTTGGTAAAGGATAATTTATGAAATCATTTAAGAATTATGATTGTTGATTCCATCTGCAATCAAACAGTTCAACCATTGCTGCCAAATTTTTTATAAAAGAAAATGTGACAAAAAAATCAATACTAAAGTTATGTCAAGAAGTAGATCATTGCTTGGCTTGTTGTAACTTGTAATGGTACATTTACACTCTTGTTTAAGATTATGATGGAAGGATGAACCTCAGCTGCCATCGAACATGGGTATGATGACTATCTGATGTTTCTGATCATGAATTTCAGAAAATAGAATAATTAAACAAAAACAGATTTTTTTGTTAAGACTTTAAGTTAGTTTCAACAAAAATATATACATTTTGTATATGATACATATTAATTTTATCTGCCATTGTGTGAAGTGACTTTCATGTGTCATTTGACAATGCATGTCACCACTATAAAACATAATTAGTACATTTGCAGTTAACATTTGCATAATGTTTTAAATTTTTTTGACAAAAACTAAATGTACAGTTATTAATTTTTTGGCCTAATGTATGCAATAAATGTATATTTATATGTGTGTAATTTATTGTGCGCAATTATTACTCATAACTTCTGATGTGGTGTATGCCAGTTTTTGCTACAGAAGGAAATGTTGAATGTTTCTTCTAAAACAAAACTGCATCCTAAATACAATCTTTATATATATACTAAAAATTTAAGACATAATCATGTTATAAACTATTTATATCAAGTGTTAAGAAGTATTAAATTTTATTTTTTTAAAAACATGCATGCCTATTTGTTTGTACCAGTAGACAAAATAAGGTTCAGTGTTATGTTGTTGAACCAAAGTTTCTTTGTGTTGTTGGTTTGCTGTTGCATTGATGTCTATATTATCATCTCATTCATGCATTCATTGAATAATATGTGTTAATAGATTAACAATTTTTGTGATCAAATTTTTGCTGGAAGTCTAGGTAAAGCTGTTTTCCCTTGGGTGGCTGATTATTGTCCACTGCTACAAAGTGTAGCAACTTACTAAGATGTATGTGTACTTCTGACCGGGCTCGTCTGTTCTTGATGACCTAATTTTCATAGATCATTGCTGGTGTTAGATGTATATGATACTTGTAGTAATGCCTTTACACTTTCAGCATTATTAGTGATGATAATAAGCAGTCTTTTGATGTATAACGGTATGATGAATAGGTATATATGTCATATGTTAAAACAAGTTGTCAGTGACATACATATACTTATGACCTAATTACATAATGGAATAGAAAATGATAATTACACATGTACCAGTTTTCAGGCATCACTGGTAATTTTTTTTTGTCTAAATTGATGTTTAAAAGAAGTTTTCATACTTTTTTTTAAACCATTTAGATTTCTAAGGAACCATGATGTTTTTTATACGACCGCAAAAATTAAAAATTTTTTGGTCGTATATTGGTATGACGTTGGCGTCATCGTCGTCGTCGTCGTCCAGCGTCGTGCAAAGACACATTGGTTTTCGCACTCTAACTTTAGTTAAAGTGAATGGATCTCCATGAAATTTTACCATAAGGTTCTATACCACGAAAGGAAGGTTGGGATTGATTTTGGGGGTTATGGTACCAACAGTTAAGGAATTAGGGGCCAAAAATAAGCATTTTTGTAACTTCCAGACAATAACTTGTGTGTAAGTGTATGGATCTCTCTGACATTGTACCACAAGGTTCCATATCACAAAGGGAATGCTCGGATTGATTTTGGGGGTAATTGCCTCAAAATTTTAGGAATTAGGGGCCAAAAAAGGGGCAAAAAACAAGCATTTTTCTAGTTTCATGACAATAACTTGTGTATAAGTGTTTGGATATTTCTGAAATTGTACTACAAGGTTCCATATCACAAAGGGAAAGCTGGAATTGAGTTTGGGGGTAATTGCCCGAAACGTTTAGGAATAGGGGGCCAAAAAGGGGCCAAAAATAAGCATTTTTCTAGTTTCCAGACAATAACTTGTGTTCAAGTGTATGGATCTCTCTGAAATTGTACTGCAAGGTACCATACCACAAAGGGAAGGCTGGGATTGAGTTTGGGGGTGATGAATCATAAGGGGGTTCAAAAAATTGGGGGGGGGGATTTTTTTTTTTCTTTTTTTTTCTTTTTTTCCTTTTTTTTTTCTTTTAAAATTTTCCATTTTAAGTTGGTTATTTCTGATTTATATTTCAAAGCAAATAATAATGATATGGTATGTAATAAGTATTGTGCAATAGCAAGAAATTTTCAATTGCACAGTATTGCACAATAGCAAGAAATCTTCAATTGCACAGTATTGCGCAATAGCAAGAAATCTTCAATTGCACAGTATTGCGCAATAGCAAGAAATATCCAATAGCACAATATTGCACAATAGCAAGAAATTGTCAATTGTACAGTATTGCGCAATAGCAAGAAATATTCAATTGCACAGTATTGTGCAAAAGAAGATACTTCCTATAAATTGCTTATTTCTTGATCAATTTCAATGGGGTTTTATTCTTGAATTCTTGGGGTTCTTTAATATGCTGAATCTAACCGTGTATTAAGTTTTTGGATTTTGGGCCCTGTTTTTAAATTGGTCCACATTGAGGTCCAAAGGGTCCAAAATTTAACTTTGTTTGATTTCGTCAAAAATTGAATTATTGGGGTTCTTTGATATGCCGAATCTAACCGTGTATTTAGATTCTTAATTTTTGGTTCCGTTTTGAAATTGGTCTACATTAAGGTCCAAAGGGTCCAAAATTAAACTTAGTTTGATTTTAACAAAAATTGAATTTTTAGGGTTCTTTGATATGCTGTTTTCAGTTTTCAAGTTGGTCCAAATCGGGGTCCAAAATTAAACTTTGTTTGATTTCAACAAAAAATGAATATATGGGGTTCTTTGATATGCTGAATCTAACCATGTATTTAGATTTTTGATTTTTGGGCCCCGTTATCAACTTTGTCCACATTGAGGTCAAAAGGGTCCAAAATTAAACTTTGTTTGATTTCATCAAAAATTGAATTCTTGGGGTTCTTTGATATGCTGAATCTAACCATGTATTTAGATTTTGGATATTGGACCATAATAGGTGAATGTCCAATTTAAAATTTTTAAGTTCTTAGACCACATTCATTCTGTGTCAGAAACCTATGCTGTGTCAAATATTTAATCACAATCCAAATTCAGAGCTGTATCAAGCTTGAATGTTGTGTCCATACTTGCCCCAACTGTTCAGGGTTCGACCTCTGCAGTCGTATCAAGCTGCGCCCTGCAGAGCATTTTATTGAAATATGATAAAACATTCTGAATAAAAAGAGTTCTTGTGGTATGTATCAATGAGACAGCAACTAGGCAACACAAAAGACATATAGAGGTCAACATTTGATCTTCAACAAGAGACAAATCTCATTCAAGATACAAAACAACTAGAGACTAGAGTGTAAACAAGTTGGGAATAAATTTAACAAAGTCTATCACAGATCTACATTGAAAGGGACACAAGTACCTTGAAGCCTTAAGTTTGCCTTTGTCATCCAAGATTTACTTTCAAATGTTTTATCATGGTTGATAAATTTTTCACATAAATAACTCAATCATTATTGAATTTTTAAGGCAATGGTTGCTTGTTATCCTGGAAATGGTACACAGTATTTACGTCACGTTGATAATCCAAATGATGATGGGAGATGTATTACATGTATATATTACCTCAATAAAAACTGGGAGGCTAAGGTAAGTAAAACAATCATTCTAGATATGTCATTTATTTTTTATACGACCACAAAATTTTTGCAGTCTTATAATGGTATGAAGTTGTCGTTGTCGTCGTTCAAGGATATTTGGTTTCCAGACAATAACTTGAGTATAAGTGTATGGATCTCTATGAAATTGTACCATAAGGTTCCATTCTGGGCCTGGTTTTCAAATTGGTCCACATTGAGGTTCAAAGGGTCCCAAAATTATTTTGTTTGATTTTTACAAAAATTGAGAATTCTTGGGGTTCTTTGATATGCTGAATCTAAACATGCATGTAGATTTTTGATTTTGGGCCATGTTTTCAAGTTGGTCCAAATCAGGGTCCAAAATTAAAACATTTTTTGATTTCAACAAAAATTGAATTCTCTGGGTTCTTTGATGCTGAATCTAACTGTGAATTTAGATATTGGATTTTGGGCACAGTTATCAAATTAGTCCACATTGATGTCCAAAGAGTCCAAAATTAAACTTTGTTTGATTTCATCAAAAATTTAATTCTTGAGGTTCTTTGATATGCCGAAATCAAACCATGTATTTAGATTTTGGATATTGGACCATATTAGGCAGTGTTCCAGCTAGGATTTGAAAATAGAGGGGCGCGTTTTTAAAAAAGGGCACTTTAGCGCGTTCTCACTGAAAAAAATCAAATACTTAATATTACCACATAATGACATATTTTTAGCAAGCATGTAGCTAAGTTAAATACTCTATACTATTATATACAAGTTTAAAAATCATTTATTTAGAACATATAAGTTAAAATCAAACTGAGAGCACTAACAGTCATTACTATATTCATTTCTCTTTCAGAACTACAGTCCAGATTTTTTCAAAGAAGAGTTCAAATGCAAATAAATATTAAACAACATTGACAAGTCTTCTGTTTTTCTTTTTGAAGAAGGTTGTCACACATTGGTCAAGAATTTTCTCAAATTTAGTTTCATCACAGTTTAATTTTACAGTTAATATTTTTGTTAATGTCTGTGTTTTCAAGTTTGCCCTGTGACTTGTCTTTATCAATTTGACCTGAGAGAATATTCTCTCCACCTCTGCTGTACTGAGTGGTTGTATTATTGCAATACTGAATAGTTTTGCAACAAGAGGGTACATAGATAATAGGTTTTTATCCTTATGACAAGGTGAATGAAATAGCTCTAGCAGACTAGGTAAGGAACGATCTGTAAGTTCTGCTGATGACACAAGAGCTATAAAGTCCTGCCATTGAATAAGGAGAGTTTCAGGGTCCATGTCAAATGTATTTGCCAGAGCTTCTATCTCTGTATAACCATACATTGTTTCAATGTTGTCTGTTCCTGTAAGGTCTAAAATGGCCAACTGATCGATTGTGTCAGCATCCTTAAATCTAACTGTTATATTTTCAATTAATCCATTGAGAAAGCACTCTCTGACTTTAGTGTCAAAATCTACTGGGGGTGGGTCAGTAAAAAGAACTCAACAAAATGGCGACGACATGAGGAAAAAAGATCGTTTCTTAAACTTTTTTCAAAAGGGCACAGAGGGGCGCATCAGAAGGGCAGAGGGGCGCTTAAAAAAGGCAGAGGGGCGCAAAATTTCGGGGGCGGGGCGCGGCGCTCCTCCATTTCATGCTAGCTGGAACACTGTTAGGTAAATGTCCAATTTCAAATTTTTTAATTCTTAGACCTCATTCATTCAGTGTCAGATTCCTATGCTGTGTCAAATATTTAATCACAATCCAAATTCAGAGCTGTATCAAGCTTCAATGTTGTATCCATACTTGCCCCAACTGTTCAGGGTTTGACCTCTGTGGTCGTATCAAGCTGCGCCCTGCAGAGCATTTTATTCAATTTGTACTTTCTTGGCAAAATAGATATTTCATATCCTTAAGAATAAATACACTTTCATGTAGTAGGAAAGATAGATTTATCTGAAAGTGCAAGTTTGAGCTGTTGTCATCACTTAGCATCTGTTGTCATTTATCTGTAAACAGCAGAACTGATTTAGCAATACATGATCTACAAAATACCAAATATGACTGAAATCAGTTTAAGCATTTTTGTCTCATCTTGAAAACTTTAATAGATAGACCAAAACTTTGAACGGCAAAACTGATATACAAATAAAACACACTAGGGAAACTGATATACAAATAAAACACACTAGGGAAACTGATATACAAATAAAACACACTAGGGAAACTGATATACAAATAAAACACACTAGGGAAACTGATATACAAATAAAACACACTAGGGAAACTGATATACAAATAAAACACACTAGGGAAACTGTCAACTGACTGTAAGTCTGTTTATTGGAGTTGCTGCACTTTAAATAATGGAAATTTTTATCCATTCACATTTTTATTTCAGAAATTGACACCACTGTTAACTTCTGAACCAATTTAGAACTTGAAAGTTACAATCATTAGAGTCTCTAGATTTTAGTTTATGAATTGTATTCCAATTTATCAACAAATATTGCTAGCAAGAAGCATGACTTAAAATAGAACACAGTGGTAAAATAAAAATTATTGCATAATACATGTATGATGTACCTTGGGAGAAGACAGGGAAAATCTGTCAGCACTAGACATTAATTGTCTTAATAATTATCCAACATTCACTGTAACAGTAACTGTTTATGTAGAAATCTGGAGGAAAAATATATTGACAAATTCTTTTAAGTCCCAGAATGATTGGACACAAATGGGCAAGAAAACTGACTGTCACTTGATGAAGAGTGAGTTTGGTTAGACATTGACTTTAAGCCTTTTTAAACAACACAATGTTGCTGCTCTTTCTAGAACTTATATAGAAGAATGAAATATGCTAACTTCAGAAAGCATGCAACTCTCCTTACAAAACTCATTATGGTGTGTGGTCAAACATGTAAACTGCTATTTTATCATACATGTATAACAATTTGTTCTGGTAAATAGCTGGGTTAGATAAGTAGAGATTGACTAATATCTCAGATAAAATTCACACTTTATCTTAGAAAGAATTCAACAAGAAACCATTGATTTTCCTGTTATGGCATTTTGTAAAAACTAAGGATGCTATCTGTATTGTTATTTAGTAAAATAACACATCAACTGAGATTAAAAGGAATGACAGATGTCTGTTTTACTTGAATGATTTCCTTCTCTATTATTTAATCTGAATTGACATATTTTTTTATACTGCATATAAAAATAAAATGATAAAAAAAATATAAAAACTTAAGTTGACACTATATGTATTTAATACAATTGCTTGTACAAAAATAACCTATGTCCTGTTATCAGATGTTTTAAACTCTGCTAAGATATACAGGTATTATAGAAAAAAATTGATTACCTATGAAGTTCCAGGTATGCACTTTTAACATGCAGGAGATAAACTAGAGAAAAGATTTTTCCTGGAAAAACTAAAATAGTTGTATGTAAATGCCTGTAACCTCAACCTTAGAAACAGGTATTACATCCATGATTCTGACAATTGAATATTCTTAACAAGTACCATTCCACTCTCAGTTGTAAAAATTCTAAAGATCTTATTTCAGCCATTTCTACAGGCAGATTCAAAATTGAAAATGTTGGAATGATTCAAAAACTAATATAAAGATTCAACTGAGTCATCTGGTCTACCAACTTCATTCAAATTATCAGTATATATACATTTTAGAAATATGGTGGCCTGCTAAGAATTTACCCAGAGGGTCAAGACAGGGTTGCTAGTATTGAACCAGTATTTGATAGACTTTTATTTTTCTGGTCAGATCGACGGAATCCTCATGAAGTTATGAAAGCTTTTAAAACAAGGTATGTATAACCGTTTTCTCTGTGGTTGATGTGATAATGTCATGCAAGCTAGTTGTTTAAAATACATTTTGGGCGTTGGATGACAACTGGTAGGTCAAATATATATTTTGAACAGGTGATGTATTTGAATACATGTTCATCATATTGATTATACCTTGATGTAAATTATGAAGTTTAGAAACTAAAGCTGTTATTGTTTAGGTCACAGAAGCAAGACATTGGACTGCTGTGTCTGGTAGCATTAACATTTTTCAAAGTTTATTTTTTATATTTATTTTTATTTTTCCATATTTTACTGACAAATGGACTAATTTTTTAAGTCATTATTACACTTTTACACTGACAGCATCTATCACAGGCGAGACACAGGGTTCCGCTGAAACCTTTATAGATTTTTTTTATCAACTTGAAATTTGGAATCAATTGAAGTTAGATTTTCTTCAACCAATTACTAGAGAATAAAAACCTTTGAAAGTGACAACAGAAGAGTGTGTGTGACCTTGTTGTCTTGTTCAAAGTTTTCTTTGACCAAGTTTGTGATGGCAAACTTTGATAGTGACAACAAGGTTTAGTTGACAATATTACAATTTTATATTTATTTAAGTAAATTTGAAGTCTTTAGTTAGTGATTTGATATAAAAAGAGCAAGATCTTGATCAAAAAAGTGCCCTGTTGATTATCATGATCATATATAATGTTCATGGTGTTGATAACATGCAAAAAAGTAATCTAATATGTGTTTGTTGTACAAACAGTATAAAAATGCAAGTTTGATACAAGCATGAATAATAATATAATTGACGGATTGATTATTGGTGTTTAACACCACTTTCAGCACTATTGGCTATATTGTTGTGGTCATTTTTTATTGGTGGAGGAAGCCAGACTGCCCAGAGAGAACCACTACATAGGAAAACTGACAATCCTAGTCAATTGAGATTGGAGTTGAACACATCTGCCACAATAAGTGTTGACAGGCTAGTGATATAGTAGATGCAGTTCACTACTTAGACCATTTGGCCACCGATGCAACCAATATGAAATAACCAAAACCTAAGGAACTTTATATTTTAGGATTATAACTTATCATTAAAGAGTATCTCAAACAAAAGAAAGGGGTTTGATTGCTCAAAGTGTCTTTCTAAACAGATCTAAAGTTTGATCCTGTAAAAATAATGCAAAACAGAAAATTTTTGATTGCATATCTTAAATATCTTAGTTTCTTCAGATTTTTTTGGCAGAATTGACCATAAATTATGTGTCTTAATTATACAACATGTATTATGCTAAATAATATTTCATTTAATGAGAAGAAATAACCTGAGTTTAACCTTGGTAATGATATTTCAAGGCAAAATAAGACAAGAATCAAGCTTAATGACCTTTCTCTTTTCATCATATATTTATTTCTTTAAAACAAAAAATCCAAATTAAGCTTTCATTTTTATGCCCCCTCCGCTACAGCCATAGCGGAGGAGGTATTAAGTTTTACCCTTGTCCGTCTGTACATCCGTGCGTCCGTCCGTCCCAAAGTTGGTTTCCGTTCTCTAACTTTAGTTTGCTTCAACCAAATGTTATGACACTTATACACAATGCTTATTACCACTAAATACAGATCAAGTTTGAATTTTGGTAGCGTCACTTTTTCCGTTCTAGAGTTATGCTCCTTTACAAATGGAAAATTTTTCGTTTCCGTTCTCTAACTTAAATTTGCCTCAACCAAATGTTATGAAACTTATACACAATGCTTATTACCACAATATACAGATCAAGTTTGAATTTTGGTGCCGTCACTTTTACTGTTCTAGAGTTATGCTCTTTACAAATGGAAAAATTGTTAAATTTTTCTTTTTTTTTTCTAAATATCAAGTCATTTTCAAAATTGGAGTTATCTTCCTTTGTCCATGATGATAGTTGAATCAACTACAATCAATGCTTTATACAATGCAATGCTTAATTTTGCCTTCCACTGATAAATTAAAGCAATTTTTACCCTTCATTTCTAAAAATATTTTAAAGTCTTCTTTGAAAATTGGAGTTATCGTTCTTTGTGCATAATGGTAGTTGAATCAACTACAACCAATGCTTTATACAATGCAATATTCAATTTTACTTCCTACTGATAAATTAATTTGTTTCCGTTTTCTAACTTTAGTTTGCCTCAACCAAATGTTATGAAACTGATACACAATGCTTATTACTACATAATACAGATTAAGTACGAAATTTGGTGGTGACCCTTTTACCATTCTTGAGTTATGTCCCTTTATAAACATAAAAATTGCTGAATTTTTCGTTTCCGTTCTCTAATTTTAGTTTGTCTCAACCAAATGTTATAAAACTTATACACAACCGTTCTAGTTTCTGATCACTTGGCATCCAGCGTCTGTCTTCGTCTGTTATCATTGTCTTTAATTTTTATAAAAATCTTCTTCTCTGAAACTACTGATCCAAATTTAACCAAACTTGGCCACAATTATCATTAGAGTATTTAGTTTAAAATATGTGTCTGATGACCCTGCCTGCCAACCAAGATGGCCAATATGGCTAAAAATAGAACATAGGGGCAAATTGCAAGTTTGGTCTATTATCTTTAAAACTGCTATAAATGGAGAAAATCTGAAAGAGGCAGAAATGTTTGGAATGATGAGATCTACCTGGTGTCCATTTACTTCCAAACTGTCAGACAACTTTTTATAGGAGTTATTGCCCTTAAATGACGAATTTTCCAACTTTTAAAATTTTTGACTATTATCTTGAAAATTATTATAGATAGGGAGAAACTTTATATAGCAAAAATGAATCAGCAAGATAAGTTCTACAAATAAGTCAAATGGTTGAAATCATCTAATGACAATTTTTACTATTTTCTTGTGTGTTTGCCTAATATCTGAAAAAGTATAATAGATAGATAGAAACTTAAATAGGCACAAATTATTAGCAAGACAAGATCTACAAATAAGTCAAATAGTTAAAATCATCTGACGATCCCTTATTGGAGTAATTGCCCATTAATGATGGATCTGACCATTTTTTTTGGTTTTTGTCTCGCCTTGACGGAGTCAAAAAGCGAGACATAGGTAGGCTGTTTCCGGCGTCGGCAACGGCAGCGGCGGCGTCAACAATGTATTAGTTTGTGATTAGGTCTAGTTCATGGTGAACCACTAGTGGTAGGTCAGTGATATTTGGTCTGCTTTTGTATTAGCATTGGCACATCTCATTACCATGGAGATTATTTGGCCCCGCCCCCTCAGTCAAGGTCTATTGACTTTGAAACTTTGCTTAGTGTACATGTATTAGTTTGTGATTAGGTCAGTTTATGGGGAACCACTAGTGGTAGGTCAATGATATTTGGTAGTAGTTTTATAAGCATTGGCACATCTCATTACCATGGAGATTATTTGGCCCTGCCCCCTCAGTCAAGGTCTATTGACTTTGAAACTTTGCTTAGTTTTCATGTATTAGTTTGTGATTAGGTTAGTTTATGGGGAACCACTAGTGGTAGGTCAATGACATTTGGTATGCAGTTGTATAAGCATTGGCATATCTCATTTCCATGGAGAATATTTGGCCCCGCCCCCTCATTCATGGTCTATTGACTTTGAAACTTTTGCTTAGTTTTCATGTATCAGTTTGTGATTAGGTCAGTTTAAGGGGAACTGTTAGTGGTATGTCAATGATAATAAGTATGCAGTTGTATAAGCATTAGCACATCTCATTTCAATGGAGAATATTTGGTCCTTACCCCTCAGTCATGGTATATTAATTTAGAAACTTTTACTTAGTTTACATGTATTAGTTTGTGATTAGGTCACTTTAAGATGAACCACTAATGTTAAGTCAATGATATTTGGTATGCAAATGTATTGGCATTTGCAAGTTTCATTTCCATGGAGATTATATAACCCCAACCCCTAGTTATGGTTCATTGACTTTGAAACTTTTACATAGTTTACAAGTTAATGTTTGTGTTTAGGTTTGTTTAAAGGGAACAACTTATGAAAAGTCAATGGTATTTGGTTTGCAGTTGTATTAGTCAGAGGCGGATTTAGAGGGTTTTTCAGGGGGCCGGGCCCCCCTTTTTTTGGAAAAAATTTGGTGGATTATATAGGAAATCACTGAAGCGTGACTGGAGCGGGCCCCCTCTTAGGCAGTCAGTGGGCCCCACTTATGAAAAATTCTGGATCTGCCACTGATTAGCATTAGCACATCTCATTTCCATGGAGATTGTTTAGCCCTGTACCTTCAGTCATTGTTCATTAACTTTGAATATTTGCATAACTTACATGTTAAAGTATTGCTATTTTAATTTCAACATTTGCATTATCAAAATAACAAATAGGCGAGACATATCTGTGTTAACAGTTTATTGCCTTATATCTGAAAAACTATAATAGATAGATAGGAACATAAATTAGCAAAAATGATCAGCAAGACAAGATCTACAAAAAGGAAGCATGGTTTTAATCATCTGATTACCCCTTATTGGAGTTGTTCTCTTAAATAAAGATTTTTGTCTCGCCTTGACGGAGTCAAAAGGCGAGACATAGGTAAGCTGTTTCCGGTGTCGGCATCAACAATATATTAGTTTGTGATTAGGTCTAGTTCATGGGTTGTATTAGCATTGGCACATCTCATTCAAGGTCTATTGACTTTGAAACTTTTCATAGTTTACATGTATTAGTTTGTGATTAGGTCAATTTATGGGGAACCACTTGGTATGCAGTTGTATAAGCATTTGGCATATCTCATTTCCATGGAGATTATTTGGCTCTGCCCCCTTAGTCATGGTCTATAGACTTTGAAAATTTTGCTAAGTTAACATGTATTAGTTTGTGATTAGGTCAGTTCAAGGAGAACCATTAGTGGTAGGCCAATGTTAATTGGTGTTCAGTTGTATAAGCATTAGCACATCTCATTTCCATGGAGAATATTTGGCCCCACCCCCTCAATCATGGTCTATTTACTTTGAAACTTTTGCTTAGTTTACATGTATTAGT